GTGTGTGTGTGTGTGTGTGTGTTTCAATAAATAATTAATTCCTAAATCCTTGTTTTTTCTATGTGAAATTTTTCACAAATTTTATTTATTTTCAGTTTATTGCCAATGTGCACTTTTACTAAATTAATTCATCATGATTTACATTAAAATCTCTTTATTATTAGATTAAATACATTTCTATTAATTTATGCAAACCATTAGAGTAAAAAAACAAACAGTCAAAACACTCATCTTAAATGGTTTTAAACATATTGAAGTAGTTGACAAAATAATTATCATCATAGATGAAATATGTGTATTTGTTCAGGAATAAACAGAACATTACTTGTTTACTCCCACACCTCCCAGTTTGGTCGTGACTGCTGTTTCTTGTGTATTTATGTCATATCAGGAGAAAGCAAATGGGATACTGTTGATCAGATTCAAAAGTGTTAACACATGTTGGAACAGCCACATTCAAAACAAAAGTATTAATCATTTGAAAAACATTACCACACGGCATGTATTGTTCACTTTAAACTGAGAATCAGTAAGTTGAATTTGTTATTCATTAATGAAATTGTTTTGTTGACAAATTTGTACTTGTTTATGTACTTTAGAAAATGCTTTCAAACATTTCCAAGATCTTAATATTTCGCATACCTCATGTACAGTTTGTTTTCTGCTAGTTAGACTTCTATGTTGTGCAATATGTATGAAGTTTAGTCATTTTTATCAGTTTGTTTGGCAATCAAAATTCCACAAAGAGCCCAGTAATCATTAAATTCTAATTTGTTGTCCTTAAAGATCTTTACATGACATTAATATATTGCTTGGGGAAAAAAAACAAAAAAACATGGGGATAAATGTGCAGTAAGCAGTGCCCTATAGAGTTGCATCTATTTTGCATGTCATTGTACCTGCCTACCAAATGGTACATTCTGCCACAACTAAAGCCTGGCACATCAAGTTACAATTATGTTTCATTACATATCTGCACAAACAAAATATCTGATCATTATTCATTTAATTATTTCCAGTTATTTCAATTGTGTCATATTTCATTGCTTGCCCCAAGCCCAAACAGCAAGACATGAATTGATCCAAGAGTAAAGTTACTTAGTAACTTCAGTCCATGTCTGCATGTGATTTTGCTGGACTGAATACAACTTGATGAGATATGTTTACCTTCCAGCCTTCGCAACAGCACATGAGTAATGGATGAAGTGCCACCAAATGGGAAAACTAGGGTGGAGGTTACCTTTCTCAAGAAGGGAGAGTAGAGGTTGTATTCTAATTGCAGGGGAATCACACTTCTCACCCTTCCTGGTAAAGTCTATTCAGGGGTAGTCCAGAAGAGAGTCAAGTTGATGGTTGAACTTTGGATTTTGAAGGAACGAGTCATTCTGTCCCAGCCCACTGGAACACTGGACCAGCTTTTTATCCTCACTAGGGTTTTCAAGAGTTTTCCTAACTGGTCTACGTGTGTTTTATGGACTTGGAAAAGGCATTTGACAGTGTTATGAAGGGTATCCTGTGGAAGGTGCACTGTGAGTATGTGATTTGTGGTCCATTGCATAGACCATTCAGTCCTTGTACAAACGATGCCAGGGTTTTGTTCGCATTGCTGGCAGTAAAGGCCCTTCAGGGTAAAAGTTGGAAAGGCACCTGTAGTCACAGATTCTCTTCATAACTTTTATTGAAATAATTTCTTGGTGAAGCCAGGGGTTGGAAAGGGTCCAGTTTGGTGGCCTCATGATTTTGTCTCTACTATTTGTGGATGACGTGGTCCTGTTGGCGTCATACCGCAATCTCCATCTCTCACTGGAGTGGTTCACAGCAGAGTGTGAAGCAGTTGAGACAAGGATCAGCACTTCCAAATCTGAAACCATGATCCTCAATCTGAAAAAGGTTGACTGTTTTATTTGGGTTGGGACTGAGGTTCTGCCTCAAGAGTTTAAATATTTCAGGGTTTAGTTCACAAATGGTGGAAGAATGAGGTGTGTGATCAAAGTCTGGATTGGTGCAGTTACCTTGGTACTGAGTACAGTACTCTGTGCCAGTTTGTTGTGATGAAGAGGGGGCTGAGCTGCAAGACAAAACTCTGTTTTTTGGTTATCTACATGCCTTCGCCTATGGTCATAAACTCTGGGTAGTGACTGAAAAAAACAAGACTGTTGATATAATCGGTCAAAATGAGTTTTTTTACACAGGGGGATTTAGCCTCTCCCTTAGAAATCGGGTGAGAAGTTCAGTTATCCAGGAGAGACTGAAAATAGAGATGCTGTTCCTCCACATGAAGAGGTACAAGATCAGGTAGTACAGACATCTGGTAGGGATGCCCCCTGGATGCTTCCAAAGGGAAGTGCTCCAAGCATGTCCAACAGAGTGGGGGGACCCAGGCAAGACCCATACCATACCATACCAATTTATTTATAAAGCACTTTAAACAGTGACAAAGCACACCAAAGTGCTGACCCAGGACATACTGGTGAAACTATGTTTCTCAGCTGGCCTGGAAAAGTCTTGGAATTCTCTCAAAAGAGCTTGAAGAGATGGCTGGGGAAAGCCGTGTCTGAGGCTTCTTGCTGGGAGCCTGCTTCTTACTAGCTGGCTCCCTGCCCCTGCGACTTGACTCAAGTGGTAGATGATGGATGGATGGATGAATATATGGATTTTTTTTTAACATAAAGGTTCAACTTTTTCTGACATGGACCGAGTTGATGTGATGCTTATGACTCATATATCATGCCTGCACTAACATAGACTTCACAAGAGGGAAGTCCCTGATGGCCAAATCACAACATCTAAATTGTACAATAGCAGAGCAGTTATTGGATCACAATCAATTAACATGATGGTAAAATAAGTTGCTGAAAAAGATGGCTGGAAGAAATGGCACAATGAAGCAAAACACTGTTATTTCCCCGATTTTAGCCAGCTTGCTATGTGATCTTGCTGGAAAATATTTACATTTAGATAAAAAAAGAGAAAAAGCAGTCACTGAACTAACAGACATCCATCCCATACAAATTACTCTAATTTATATCATTAACTGAAGGTGGCTATGCCTCTCTGCATGTGAGCTGCTGGGAAGCATTTACTTTTTCCACCCCTCTCAACAAACTATTCCTTTAAGCTCAGATCCAGTTTCTTTTTCAGTCATGCAACATTAACTGCACTTTAAAAATCAGTAGCTAGATGTTCATTCACAGAAATTAGGCCATTAAGGTCACTGATGTGCCAGGAACAGCCCCCACATTTCCATACCAGTGTATCAGTGAGGGGCTACTGAACAAGTTACTCTTTTACAACTACATCAGCACTTATTAATGTTTAAATTTTAAAGGCCTCACAATGATGTTGTGATACTTTGGTAACTTTAAAAAGACATTCAGCAAAACTAGTTGTGAGACTAAATCAGCTGTAACTTAGATACTCCTATAGAAGATGTTTCAATAAATTTCAGTGATCACACACTATATATATATATATATATATATAT